CCCCCCCCCCCCCCCCCCCCCCCCCCCCCCCCCCCCCCCCCCCCCCCCCCCCCCCCCCCCCCCCCCCCCCCCCCGCCGCGCCCCCCCTAAAAGTTGGAATCCAGTGTATTGTGGAACCCAATATTGCCCAACATTATTGTACAATATTACTGAGTGACCAGTATTATTGATCCCCAATATATTGGGTATACCATAATATTGGGACCCAGTATAGCCAGTAATATTGTGCAATATCTTCAATAATGATTGGTACTAGATCAGCATTTCTTCGTTATACGGGAAAAAATCGTGTTCGCGATCAGATCTGAGCAAAAATGAAATGAAGATACCACTATGATAACCGAGATACTATAGTTGAATGATTATCGAATCATAAAAAGTAAAAGTGTATGAGCAGCTTATCATATCTGGTAGCAGTTATTTGGTAGTAATACGTTTTATTTCAATAAATAATACGAAATGTTTTAAAGGAATTGTTACACTATAAGACGTGACTCTTCTATTGTGTCCCGCTTTGAGCGGAGAATTTTCTAATTCTGGTATATTTTTTCATATTGCTATAGAAGTAAGTCTTTTAATGTTTGAGATCGTTAAACTTCAGACTTTTACGTATTCCTTGCGTTTCCACAAAATATGTCACCAAGAGAGGCTTATATTTCCCCTTTAAAATCATAAATTGTATCGAAGGCTGACAGAATCCTCTATTTATGAAGGCTCTTGTCATGTATCAATGATAAGGCAGACAGTGGTGCACTCATACACACAAAGTTAATAAAACTGAGGTGAAACATACGTGCATTTGTGGTTACCGTTGTCGTTGTTGTGCTACAAAAGCAGATAGCCAAAAACACGCTAGAGACTGTTGAACTTTAAGCGTATTTCATTCGATCCCTCAGACCAATAAAAATAACTTTTAACCTTTGCTCTCTGACAAGCATAATCTTTTGAAAGACTCACGCCACTATAATTCAAGAAAAACCAGTTAATTTAGTACTATACTTCATTCTGCTAGCATTTCATCAGACTCCGTGGGACGTATGCATTAATTAAAAATGATATAAATCTGAACTACATGTGCGATTTGTTTTAACTAAAACATTAATTTATTAGAATCCAGAGAAATGGAATTTTTGTTTAATTCTACACGTTTGACTCAGCATCTAACTTGTCATTAGAAAATCGACATGAAAATCCGACTTAACGCTATGTTTCTCAAAAAATTCCGATAAAATCAAATATGCTTAAAAAAGAAAAACTTTTATTCCTTAAATTATCTCTCTACTATTCCATGGCGAAGAAATAGTACAGAGAGGAAGCGTAAATAATTGTGTAAGTGAAACCGTATTTACGTTGTGACTGATGTTGTCGATGTCGATGTAGTCGAGGTCGAAGTGGTTGTCGTTGTTGTCGTAGTTATTGTAGTACATGATGGAAGAAGGGTTAGCGTAACCCAAAACGTTGTACAAACCTCAGTGGATTGAATATTATTACTAAAAACAATATAATATCATTTATGTGTTTGAGTTTTGAGTCGCAAAGTTGAAAGTACTCAGATTTTAGACTGGTGAAATTTGCTTAAGATGCATAACGAACAATCAGAACTAGTAATGGGACACTTACAGTTACCGTTTTTAATAAGTGGAACATTTTCCAGTAATACCTGATATCTCGCGAAAATAGATATCAACAAACTACATGAGAAATTAGTGAAACACACGAGATTTTAGCGAAACAGCCGAGAAATCAGTAGAATACCTCAAACATTACTAAAATACACGAGATATTAGCACTAAAACGTGAGATTTTAGTGAATACACAAGATATTAGTAAAATACACGAGATATTAGCACTAAAAGGTGAGATTTTAGTGAATACACGAGACATTAGCAAATTGTATGAGAGTGAGTAACAACACTTTGAATTCTGAAATTTGCTAATATCTGGTGTACTCACTAAAATCTCACCTTTTAGTGCTAATATCTCGTGTATCTCACTAATATCTCGTGTGTTCAGTAAAATGTTACGTTTTGTTGCTGTAATTTTTGAGAAAATAATTTTTTAAGTTTAGTCTTGGTTTTTTACTCCATTTTTAAAAGTTTAATAAAATTTTCAGATTTCTACATATATAACCTCGGTTTTGATGTCAACTCCCCCCCCCCCTTAAGGCCTATCCTCATTGAATGGGTATGGAAGTTTTTAGAAAAGCTTCCTGAAAACCTTGAAAAGCTGACTTGTCGAAAATATTTTACTTTCCGATGAAAAGCAAATCCAGAAATACTTTCAATAATACAAGGAAATAGAACAAACATTTCTGTTAAAAATGAGATATCTCCCCGCCCCGGGTCACAGTGGACAATCACGTGGACATTAGGTGAAAAAATGAAAGCGCAATGTTTCTAAATTCAAAAAGTGTCAAGTATACTTTGAATCAAGGGCTATTTAATGATAAAAGATCTTTTATTCTATATGCCGTAGTTGGGGAGAAAACACTTAATGAAAATTTCGTGTTGAAACTTAAGTCCTTAAAAAAGCGGTTCGGTAGCATCTACAGCAACAAATATTATGTTAAAAATCGTCCATAATCTGAAACTAGACCTGTCACTCTATGAATTCATCAAAAAGTTTATTTTAATCATTTCTGTTAGGAAAACTTTTCCATCTGCGCTTAGTGCTTTTGGATACGGATAGTTCCAGTAAATGAGCCTCCCCTCCACATCCCAACTCGAAACTCCTTCAGATCTTCAAAGAATGTTCTGCTGCTTGTCCTCCAACTATGATCAGTACATAAACATGCATAAATGCACCTGGACCGCACAGAAGGTTTTTCAAAATACCCACGATTTTCCAGGTATTTTCTATTTTTCTCGGCTCAGAAATGCTATTATTCAATAAAAATAATCTATTTAGAATCAGCGCACCGAACTGCATCGAATAATATGTCAGTCGTATGTTTTCATGTGTAAGAAATAATTTGATTTAATGAAATGACAGATTTGCAGCATTCTCGTAGCAATTTTGGCTAGGCACTAGGACTTTTGCCTTAGAAGCAGCTTGAAAGGCTACGAAAACTATTTTTATAGGTTTTCGTATGCACTCTTTCCAATGGTGGGATTTATAATGTTCAAAAACACTCTTAGTCTGGTTCTCCAGAGACCGGATCTCTGGAACAAACATCTTTGAACTTGCAAATTACAGCGTTGGAAAGAGCGCATACAAAACTCTATAAAAATAGTGTTTAGAAGCTTTCGCATTACTTTTATGGCATATGTCCACGTACCTAGTCAAAACTGCCCACTGTGGGTGATACTCTAATCCAGAGTTGTGAGAGTTTTGCTGGAAGCCCTAAAACATGCATTAGATACTGCCGTCGCCATATCACGACAACGACCTTCGCCGTAACACCATTTCGCAGCTGCAAGATTCCTCGGTAATGAAACATCGCAGAGAGCTGGGAAAGGTCTTATATTGAAGCTGACACTGTGCTTTCGTCAAGTTAAGACCGGTCCAAACTCTCCACAACGTTTTATCACTGAGAAATCTTGAAGTTATGAATAGCCAATATGTAATTATTATAAATTTCACTTTAGTGTTAACTATATAAATTTTGTTTTGAAATCGCCTTTTGGGCTGGCTATAGTGGACACATCAAGGAACCGTCATAATGTTTATCGGAATGAATTGCTTCAATAGTCTTGCTAGTTTTTTGTTATTGGACAAATATGCAACCATGAAAAAGAGAAGTTTTCAGAACAAAAAGTTATGAAACGCGAAGGAGATGGGTTGAACAGAGTCTAAAATACAACCACAAGTGCTCATTCTACTTTCACTGAAAGTTGATCAACCGTCATTTTATTCATAGTTTGAATCCAGAAAAAGGTCCTTATTTTACCTATCAATTGCAAATACACAAAGTATTTGCATTCCTGATTCCGAAGCAGTAGGTATCCATATTATAGAACTTGACCATGTTGTTGAGGTTTCTTGTTGTATAAGACGCTTTGAACTGATGGTTGCAAATGAAATTGTTCCTATATCTTGAATCATTGTATTAGGACACCCAACTTCGGCCAGTAATCCTATCACATACGGTTTGGTAACTTGGAAGAGGCTGCATTGTGTAATTGGGACTTGAATGGACACTACTGGTCTTGTGCTACAAGGTAGTGTACTAATACTATATGCAAACACAAGAAATTGTGTTGGTACAGAACTAAATGGTGTTGTCGTTGTACTGTTCAAAAAATCTTCGACCTACAAAGAAGCAAATATCAGTAGTAAGATTAAAAGAAGAACGCAACTGGATTATTCAGGCGATAGAAAATAAATTCCGATACGCAGCTTCGCATCATCACCACACATCATTAGCACAACTAACGAGGGACTTTCCTCAAGTGGCAAGTCGCGTATGACTAGTTCGTTTTTCTCCATCGGTGTTTTGTAAATCCGTTCTCCAGAAACCAACATTTCTGTCTTCCAAATAAAACTCTGATCTATCCCGTTTCTATACCAAATTTTCCAATGACGAAGGAGATTGTAATCACTGACAATTTTGACTTCTTGAATTCTGTTTCTCTTAAATGGTTGCATCGTTTTGACTGCACCATTCATCAAAGCGTAACAAACACTTTTTGTCAACTAATGACTCGAAATATGATTGTACTAGTATTCTAACAACGAAATAGTCACTAACCGTAGTAAGACTTGAAATCAGCCCACTAACGTTTGCCGCTTCAATCGATACACAACTCATCAGAAGCATATTAGATCATATTTTTACCCTTCGAAGCAATGGATATGAAGTACTTGTGAACAAACAACCTATCGATCCAGTGTAAATTCGAGTTCGAGATTTTTCAAAAAAGCGTGGGTTCTTGAGGTATTTTCCATTTTCCTCAGTCCAGGAGAAATTATATTAAAAAACAATATGATATTCAGAATCAACATGCAAAACTGCATCGAGTGATCGGAAATTCTTTCAGCTGTTCAAATCTTTTTTCAAATTTGTTCTAGCTATTATGATATTCGGAAAGTTTTCGAAAATTGTATAAATAAATGATATGTTTATTTGTTATCGTTAGATAAGATCAGTTATTTTTCGTTTTCTGTATATATTATCTAACAGCACGTTCTTACGATCAGAGAGATAAGTGAATCATTTGTGATTACTGCTTTATTACGTTTATAGAACTCTTTAAAATGAGTGTAAAAAATCGTCTAATTCTAGAACTTTTCCTTTATGAGTTCCAACTGGACCATACTGCGGCCAAAGCAATTCGAAACATCTGCACAGCGAAGCAGTGGCGTAACCAGGATTTTTGGACTGCTGGGCCGTGTTCCGTAGAGTCGAAAAGAATCGGTGGGCCTAGGTGGGCAGAACGTTGCCTGCTTGGGCAGGAAATATTTCCAACTGTTACCAGTTCTGATG